ATATTTTTTTCATCACATCATGTCGAAACTATACATATCATTAAGTTTTAACTCTGTATAAAATCCTGGTTGGAGAATGATGGAATTTACAAAATGCTTAGTCAGTCGGGTGCTATGTAGTTTACTACCACTCTCTAGAACTATTTTCTTCCAGGTAGAAGAAACTCTACCTCCATCTGTTTTCAGGATGAAGGATAAAATGCTATTTGCATGGCAGCTGTATAGTGTAAGGAGACATTGGGGGTGGCAGCAGGGGGCTTAAATAGTTGTTTGTAGGTGACAAAAGCTAGGGATGTGTTGTGTTCACGATAGTCAATGAAAATAAATTACATATTACTGAAAAAAATTTTAACTCTGTTGCTCTTTTCCCATCTCTGTAGCCTCTAATTTACTTTCTGTCTATATGCATTTGCCTATCCTATATGTTTCAGTACAATCATACAATATGTTTATGGCTGACTTATTCACTTAGCATAAACATTTTCTAGGTCGGTCCATGTTGTATCCTGTATCAGAATCTTTTAAATCAATTTTCTTATAACTGAATAATAGTTCATTGTGTCTATCTATCACATTTTGTTTATCCTTTCCTCTTTGAATGGATTCTTGGATGGGTTCCATTAGTTAGGCCTTGTGAATAATGCTGCAGTGAACATTGGGGTAGGTGTATCTACTTCAGTTCCTGTTTTCAGTTCTTTGGGGGCATATGTGGTTAACTTTGGCATCTCTGAGGGACTCAAATTGTGTTCTTTTAAAATGTTCTCTTAAGAGATGGGAATACAAAGAACTCTCAAGGGACAAAAATCATGGCTTTAGGTGGATGGGACCAAGTTTTCCAGCAAATTTCTCGTAGGACAACCTTTGCTACCCTCAGAGAATGAGCGGATACATTCTCACAATGGAAAACGTGTTCTCAGGGTCACTTGCCTGACCTTTTTCTCACCAGTGTAGTTTTTGCTTTCCTTAAAATGTCTTCCTAATAAAACTCGTGATCATCCTGTGTCCTTAGAGAAAATCTGTCAAAATTATGCTAAAATTTTGGAATCCTAAGACGCAGTTGCCATAACCTTGTGAGCTGATCTTTGGACGTGGAATTGAACTGGCTCAGCAGATCTCCTTGGAAGCCTCTGTTTTGATTGGACCTTTTTGAAGGTACCCCAACCAGACTCAGATCAGTGTATTGCTGAGAGAACATGTCTGCAGCCACCCACGGATGGCAGAGACATGTTGAAAACATGTTTTATTTGGAACAAACCTGTGTGCATAGGAACTGGAACCCCATCAGCAGTGCTTTTGGACTTACCTCTATGGTTTTGAAGTCTGAGTTCTCCAACGTTATACTTAAACAAAAACAGCCCCCCAACATTTTTATTGACATATAATTCACAAAGCATACAATTCGACAGTTCAATCACATCAAGAAGAGTTGTACAAATATTACTACAATCCGTTTTAGAACATTTTCTTCATTTTGGTACTCATCGTTAATAGCTCCCCATTTCTTCCTAACCTCCCCTGCCATTACCCCAAGGAACCATCAATCTAGTTATTGTCTCTAGAGATTTACCTATCCAGGATTTCATATACAGAAAAACATAAAAAAAAACATGTAAAACTGACAATAATAAAGCAAAACGGACTAAAACCTCAATTGAAAAGAAAACAGAAAATATTAAAAACTAGAATAAACTTAAATGGATCATAAGGGAAATCAAATGATAGAGTGCTAAGTTTTAACCTAACTGCGTCTGCAACAAACCACTTCCAGTGCCTTCTGCCTGATAGCAAGGCTGTTCACATCCCTGGTCCACGGTCAGTGGATTCACTAGGGGCTCAGTCACGTTCGTTTCCCCTTTGTTTCTTTAAAAACACGGAAACAGCTTTACAATGGATCTGCTTTGTTCATGTTTCAAGATTGTGTTTGGCAATTTTGGGTTCCATAGGAGTTTAAAAATTCCCATATGAAAAGTTGTCTTGAAATATTTTGAGTCGTGTTGACATGGTAACAATACTGAGTGTTCTAGTTCATGAGCATGGGATGCATTTTCATGCTTTTGGGTTAATGTTTTTTTCAGCAATGTTTTATAGATTTCAAGATACAGGTTTTTCTCCTCTGGGTTTAATTTATATGTAGGCCTTTTATTTTTTTAAGGTGCTACTGTGAATTGGACTCTTTTCTTAATTTCCTCTTTGGGTTATTCTTCATTAGCAGGTAGAGACACATTGGGCTTCTTTCCGGCAGCTTTCTGATTTGCATATAAGCTTCTAGGAGCTTTCATGGGGATTCTTTGGCTGTTTATATATATAGAATCATGTCATCTGTGAACAGAGATAGTTTTATTTCTTCCTTTCTAGCTTTGGCTGCCATTCATGGATTCATTTATTTGGTCAGTTTAATTTTACTGTCTAGGATTTCCAGTACAGTGCTGAATAGTAGTGATTAAAGTGGACATCCTTGTCTGATGTCTGATATTTTGGGGAAAGTTTTTAGTCTTTCACCTTCCATATATTCTTAATGATAAATTATTGTATGATTATTCTAAAACTTCAAACAGTGCAAACTTTTGTGAAGTAAAAATGAAACATTCCCCAGACTTTATCATCAGATAAATAAGTAAGTAAGCCACTCACAGGACTATCCAATATTGGTAATTTGCTGTTCATGTCTCTAGATATTCGCTATGCGCACATAACTGTGCATAGTTATGTGTCTGTGTTTGTGTAAACACACAAGGGGGCTTCAAACAGTTTATGGAGAATGGAATTGATAGATCATTGAATGTTTCCACATAATTTTTGAAGTCCTCTCACATATATTTGAGTGTGTGTATACACAAGCAGACAGACAGACAGATACACATACACACACACACAATGCTTATTTTGTTTTTATCAGAATCAGATTATTATGCATATTATATTTTAGTTTGCTATTTTTACTCAGTAGTGTGTCTTGAATCCACGTAAGTGGAACTTAACAAAACCCCACCCTGCAATACTGCCGGGTTACTTTTTACTTTTCCGTACTGACTGACAGTATGTGGTAAAGCTGTGTAGCAGCAGAGTTACTTCATTTCTACTTTTTGGAGGGCATTGAGATCGTCTCCAGGTATTTGCTTTTACATGTAAATATGCACTGTACATATTATGCCTTGAGGACTCATGTAGTCTATTGAGAATGGGTTTTTAGAAGTTGTGTTGAGTCAGGGACATGGTGATATTGCTTGGGAGTTTGCATCTGTAATCATGAATGAGATTGGTCTGTGGTAGTGAGGTTAGCCCAGGCCACACACCACACCCCTACCTGGAGACACTTTTTCTGAGTGACTCTGCCAGGGGAGCGCTTGGCCCATGTAAGGTTTGGAGAGTGAGGGTGCTGGCAGCTCTGTGCAGTGGATTGAGGAGCATGGCAGCACCATGTTGCTTGTCTCTTTAGTGTTTACATTTCATTTTCTCCAAGAGAGGCTATGGAGCTTGGGGTCAGGAAAGTTGAGTCCGGACCTTCTGTCCTAGAATACAAGCTTTGTGTCTGAATCTATTTTGGAATTCTACCTTGCTCTCCGTGTGGTTAGAAACTTGCATTTGATGGTGTCTGGTGTTATGTTAGGTGCCATCACCGTGGTTCCAGCTGTGTCTAAAACAAAGTCTTGCTCGGTCCTGCCCCATCCTCACAATCATTATGTTTGAGCCCATTGTGTCAGTCCATCTCATTGACAGTCTTCCTTTTTTGGGCCAACTTTACCAAGCATGATGTCCTTTTCCAGGAACCGGCCTCTCCTGCTAACATGTCCAACGTGTGAGACAGAGCCTCAGCCTCCTTGTTGCTGAGGAGCGCCCTCACGGCAGTTTGGTCTTTGGGCAGCCCATGGTACTTTCAGTGTTCTTTGCCAGAACACTTCGATTCTCTTCCGGTCCTCGTTATTCAGTGTCCAACTTTCACATGCATACGAGCAATTGAAAGTACTATGGCGTGGGTCAGTCAGTCGGTGAAATAGAGTAACTGGTTACATGTGAAAATACGATAGCTGGTTGTATTCAATTCCCTCCATGAAAACATCAAATGGCTTTTGGGTTATGATTATCAAATGGAATCGTCACATTTTATTTCATAAATTTGAATCTTATTAACGTACCTTCACTATCTAAACCTTCACTTGAAATGGGATCATAAGGTGGAACTATTCTTAGGAAATAAATACAGTAGTCAGCTTTTAAATACTCTCTTAGGAAATCAACTGATTGCTTTAAAATAGGGGTTTATCATGTAGAGTAGCAATATTTGATTTTCATGTAAACTTGTGTTACTTGCCAGAGGAAACAGTTCTTAGTGGCGCTTGCTGTACAACAGATGTGCTTTCAGGTTGGATGTGGAAGTTTTATTAGTGAGATCGTACAATGCATACTGGGTCTGATAGGGATGGTCTCTTCACTACCAAGTGCTGCGGGGAGCCTGTGCGTGAGCGTGGATAGCTTGGACGGGACCCAGGGCTCTGTGGTCAGCAGTGGAGCAGGTTTGATCACTGCACATTGGATGGATCAATATAAAAACGAGTGTTCAGTGGGGGAAAAGGGCAAATGAGTGAGATTTATAATAATACCACTCTGATAACTAAAAATGCATGGATACAAAACAGTATACATTTTGCAGCACATAGTCAAATCAAAAGGCATATTAAACACAATGCTCGTGGGATGTTAGCCATAAGATGAAGACAAAGGAAATAAGGAAAGCAGAAAGCAGATAAAATAAAATAAGAAAGTGTGTGTGGAGTGAACTGATGGAATAAGTTTTAAAGCGGAGGCTGTGTAGGAGCAGTGCTAGCCCGACCCCAGAGGCCTTGTGGCAATATGACCTCTGACCTGGACCAGGGCTTTGAATCATGATTTTTTTTTACCCCAGTCTACTTACCTTTCTGGTTCACCGCAATTAAGACAAATTTTAGTTACCTTCCAGTGTTGCTTCGTTAGCCATGCGTAAACTAGCCTGAGCTTTTCTGAACTTGTACTCCACTCTCCAGTTGGAAGTTTGTATTCTGCACATGATAAGCGGTAGCAGTTTCATCTGAAGAAACAATGGCGATCGAATGCATTCCTTATATTGCAAATAATACTGAATTTTTGTACGAACTTGAATTTTGTTCATTCCAAGATTTTGTAATTAGTTTTGAAAGTAGCAATGTTAATATTTTCTTTCTACATATTAGTGATTAAATCTAAAATGACAATGATACTCAGTTTTACTCACGGTCTCAAAGTATTTCAATTAAAAAATGATATAAAATGCATTCTTTTTGGCTCTATTTTTAAAGTATTCTAGAATTCACTGAGTCGCTTTAAAAAGTACTATAACACTCTCAACATACTGTACAAATAATAAATTGAAACTTTGAAATACTTTTTGATTGTGACATTCTGAACTTAATGCTGCAAAATGCAATGAAAAAAACCTTAATTTTGATGTAGGTGAAATTTCACTACTAACATATATTATTCATGTAAAGTTGATAAAAATAGATTCATGAAATACTAGAAATACAAAGTATGCTATTATGCATAAAGCATTAATACTTAAAGTATAATAAAATATTTTAATATTGAATCTAGTTCTAAGCTCAAAAATTGATATATCACATAGATGTTTTATGATACACATGAGATATTTATGATAAACATGAAAATAAAAAACCCGGATGTGATGTGAGGGGATAGTGCATTTGGAGTTCATTCTACCAGGTCAGACTGTTAGTCAACCTTTCTATTTAGAGGTTCCGAAAGATTGGGAAACAGTGTGTGACAAAAAAGGCCTGGCTTGTGGCAGACAGGGGACTGGTTTTGCCATCATGACAATGCACCTGCTCACGCAGCCAACTCAGTGCGCCAGTTTGGGCAAAAAACAGCGTCCCTCTCTTGCCCCACACACCTTACTCACCTGACCTTGCTCCATGTGACTTCTTTTTGTTTCCGTGAATGAAGAGGGACAAATAATAAGTAAATGTTTAGAAAATAACGATGGCAACATATGTACAAATATGCTTGCTATAATTGATCTATTTATGATGTATTTATTTAAATCATTTTATTGGGTCACATACAGCTTTTATCACAATACATACACAAATCCATTGTGTCAAGCACATTTGTACATTTGCTGTCATCATCATTCTCAAAACATTTTCT